TAGCCTACAGATAGCAGTTAAACTAAAAAATGAAATGGTGATCACTTTGTCTACCCCTTTGCTCTTGAAAGCAACAGTTGTACACTCATTAACCTCCAACACATTAACATTCACCATCCAGTTGATAACAATGTGCAACTAGCAGAGATTAGGAGTGAATAATGTGTATCATATTAAATGTTAATTCACAATTCAGTGAATAGTTTTGTAAAATAATCCAGATGGCTCCAGCAAGTGAGCCAAAATAAGGAAGAATAAACAAGCTAGCATTTCCTAGCCTATTTGACCATTGGGGGGATTTTTTTGACCGCAGCCGGACATTGAGCATGAAGCAAAACTCATCTGCCAAGTTGTTTTTCCATCAGACTTTTTTCCTGACCTTCTATAGCACAAGTCTGCCCCACCCATCATTCCATCTTCATTTGTCCTATTGCATCCTCCAATGCCCTAGAAGAAGGGGAAGGAGGCATCATATTAGGTGGCTCAAAAAACCCCTCAAATAGTACCATATCCCAATGGATTCAGTGAGAATCAAGATTGAAAATGCTCATGTTTTATCGTCACCTAATTTTGCTTTAGTACTAGTTAGTTGTTGTTTTTTTACCCCATAGCTGTTAAATGCATTTAATATGTAACTTTTACATCTTACCTTGCATAATTTTGTTTGCTGAAAGAAAACAGAGTTCTGAATGCATTCCAAACATAGTTGGAATGAGAATGTGTGTGTTGATGGAAAATTTTCTGTTTACAGTAACCTTGATGCTATGCAAGTTCACTGTTTGGTTTTATAAAAAGTGTTAGGTGCTCATTCTTTGCTTTTGTATCTTACTTTCTATTGCAACCATCTTTTTGTGTTTGCTTGTTTTGACTCTTAAGTACAATGATATGAAAAAATGTGTTTACATGGTTAACATTTACTTGTTTCCACAGGCAGCCTTCCTGAGCCAGAGAGGCTTGATTGAGAATGATTTTCTTACCAAAATTCTGAATGGAATGGCATTTGCTGGTTTTGTGTCAGAGAGAGGTCCTCCTTACAGATCCTGTGATCTCTTTGATGAGGTAGAAACATTTAAAAAGAAATATGAAAGTGAGAGAAAATATTCATACTTAAATTTCTGTAACAATTTTTTCTGTCATAAAAGTAATGCTTTTGTCACATTATTTGTGTATTACATTTATACCCCACCTTTCCTCCAATCAAGAAAATGGCATACATGGTTCTCCCCTCCCCCTCCATTTTTTATCCCCACGGCAATTCTGTCAGGTAGGCTGGGCAGTGACTAGCCCAAGGTTCATGTCTGAGTGTGGATTTGAACCCGAGTCTCCCAAGTTCCAGTGCTCTAACCACTACACCACACTGGTTCCCCATTATGAAATATATCATTGTGAAAAATTCTGCAGTGAATTACCTCTGAAGCCCTCCTTTTGTGTAGTCATTACATTTTTTCCTGCAAATAATTTCACTGGAAACAATTGGGATTTTTTTCTGCTGAATGCATTTTTTTTTAAAGAAAATGATTCTAAGTTCTTAAAAAAAGGTGTGGAACCAATGGGACTATTCACAGGCATAATGAATGCATGAGAACATATTGTAAGCCCTGTCATAATAAATAAAAAGTGACTACTGCATGTTACGGACAGTTTAGAATCTTTAAAAATTGCAATGGCAATATTATAACATGGTTTTACATACTCCTACAAATCTTTCTGTATGACATTTATGGGAGTGTGTTAATGCAGAGAAGAAATGGGAATGGGCAAATATTGCTTTTAAAATAAAACAGTTGGGTTTTCATAACTGGCATGACAAGTGCCATAAATTTAACAATTTATAAAAAAGAATAACGAACTATTGGGGAATCACGTTTATTTATTTACGGTGTTTCTATGCTCCCTTGCAATCGGTTTGTTTTGTTGATTTGCTGTGTACGCTTCTGAATGCTGAATACAATACATACAAAAGCTAACAGATTTTGACAAAACATTCCCGTAACAATATAGCATGTATTTAAAAGATGAACTGCATATTGAACTGACCCACACCCGGCATTCATCATCTGAGGTCCGAAGGGTGGCAACACAAGAATGGACCTTTTCTGTGGTGACTCCCTGCTTGTGGAATACTTTCCCCAGGAAGGTTCATATATTAAAGTGCCAAGCAAAAACATTCCTCTCCCCCTAGGCCTTCGGCTAACTAAATAATTTATGGCCTTATTTATTTCAATAATATATAATTTTCATACATATTTTTTTGTTACTGTGTTATGTATTTTTGTGTTTTTATATTCTAAACTGCCCTGTGATCCTCGGATGAAAGGCAGTATAGAAATTTCGTGAATAATAATAATAATAATAATGCTTAGCATATTAAATGTGCTATATAAATTGATAGTTGTCAATATTATTTTAAAGAACTATACTACCAGATTAAAAATGGTTCATCAAATATAATATCCTACTTCTGGAGTCTGTTTCCGCAAAAGTGAAGTTAGAGATGTTGCATGATGTGTGCAGTATGATGGGGCAGACTTGTCTTTTCATTAGAGGAGCGTTGGTTTCAAATTCATGATTGGGCAATAAACCAGCATATATGAATCCTGGGAAATGTGGGTGCATGCAGAAGGTGTTTCAGTGGACAACAATAAAAAGTACCATATAATGTAGCATACAAGTCCTTTCTTGGATTGAAGAGTGTCAGGTCAAGCTTAAAGTCTGGTTCATGAATGTCCAAAATGGACGACTCAGACTGACCAAGCCTGTATAGACTAGTGGGGCTGAGCCAGTCTTCTGCCAGTTGCAGCTTCTGGTTTGGGGTCCTTGGCAGCAGGACTGTTTCTCAAAGTCTTCATTATATGAAACTTTATTTTAGATCCTGAAAAGAGTTACTTTACTCTCCAGAAAATAGTTAATTTTTTTCAACTAAAACCTTTTCTCCCCTTTAAGTTGGTAGCATTTGAAGTAGAGAGAATTAAATCTGAGGAAAGCAATTCATCAAAAATGTTAAAGCATGTCAGAGAACTTGCAGACCAGCTGTTCAAAAATGTAAGTACAAAGCATTCACATACTATAATGCCACTGAATAATGTTTCACTTCAAATTATTGTAGCTGTAGAAATTTAAATAGGAATCATTGAAGCAGTGGAAATTTAAATAGAATTAGCCTTGAATGTATGTTGAAGCTATACATATAGTTACCGGTACTTGGTTGTATAATTTAACTGCAATGATTGTTGCATTTGGAGACCCATTTACACTGAATCTAACTCAAGGTATCTTTTCTTAATATTAGTTGAAATATGCCACTTACTTTTAAGTTGTGTCAGATAAGCAACAACCAAAACCATGCCCAGAAATGGGAGCCATATAGATAAAGTAAGATGAAAACTAGCCCCCTTACTTGTGTGTCTGTGGCTTCTACTTTCTTGCTTGGAACAATAGTTTCTGCTTGACTTTACTAACCAGAGCCAATGCCATTTTTGAGCAACCCTAGAACTACTTCAATACTGAAAGTATGACAGCTATTGTTGTTCTGTGTGTCAACGGAGCAGATGTATTGTGATCTGTAGGATATCATTATTGTTACATTTATGTTTTTGGAGACTTTCCAGCTGAGGTGTGTGTATGTGGATGAGACAAAGGCTCATCATTATTTTTGTTAAGCTCTGGGTTCCCAACAATGGAAAATGGGAATAAACCTTCATTAACACCATCTTTTCTACCATACCACTGAATTGCTGATAGCTAGAATTGTGCCATTTGTGATTAAAATCTGAGAGAGGGAGAAGATGTCTGGGCACAGCCTCAGAATGGCCATTGCATGTTCCTATGAGTTTAATTATTGAGCTGTTTTGGGGAAAGTGTTGCTTTAGTGTGAGACTGAATGACTTCTATACAGAATCACTTATGATGAGATTACTCATGTAAACAAAATTAAAACAGAAGCAGTGTGTTAAATTAAGGCCAAAATCAAATGATGGAAAAGGACAAGTGAGATGAGTGGCTGTATAAACAATATTGTAGAGATAGTGTGTGTCAAAGATTTGTTGCAAGCACACATGGAAAAGTGAAAAAGGAGGTGAGGTTAAAATCCCCTGTGAGAGCTTTTCTGTGTAAATAAGCTTGAAATGAGGCTTATAATTTAAATAAACACTGTCTGAAAGAACAGTTAAGTGTTATTGTATGCCCAGCTGATGTGATGTTCTGGGTTCAATGTATTGTGATTGTATTTTAGCACTAAAATTTTAAATCAACACTGTTATAAAAATAGTTTGTGTGAATTTATGTTATTATTGTGAACCACATAAAAGTTGTAGGGAGTGAGAACAGAAATGTTTTGCTATAGCATAAAGACTATAGGACTATAGGACTACCCACAGTTCATATACTGCAGCATAAAAACACAGTGTACATACTTTTACATTGTATAATTTTTGCTTTGTGAACTAGTATTAATCATTTTGGAAAATTGCATGTGCTGTATAGAAGAGGATTGGATTGCACATCTATTCAGTTTCAGAATCATACAAGCTTAGCCTTGTCTTACAACTTTGTTTTTTGTTTTTAAAGGTTGATCTTATAAAAATGAACATTGAAAAATTACAGTTACATGAATTTGTGATGGAGCATTAGTCATTTTAAAATTCTACACAAAGACAGTGCATAAAGTTTTATTACTTTCCAATAAGCTACAAACTTGGTGCTTTTGAAACACAAAAGAATACTTTGGGCTTAATCCAAAGTGAAGCACATTCAAATGGAGCACTTTCATTTATTTTATGTGTTATGCACATGCTTAAATCAAACGTGCTTAAGTTTTTACTAGTGAAGGCTTGATACTCCTCTTAGGGTTACACAATCACTTCCACCCTTTTGCTAAGTGAAATAATATGTCAAATAAGTCTTTTATTGGTTTAGATACCAAGATGATACTCTGTATTGTTATAAAATATTGATAGAAAGTACTGAATACCTTAATTCAAGTAGTATTTATTTTAATTCAGGAGAATCCAAATCCTCACATGGCATTCCAGAAAGTTCCACGACCTACGGAAGGATCTCACCTGCGAGTTCATGTACTTCCTTTCCCCAAGATTAATGAGAATCATGTTCAGGATCTAATCCAGGAAAGTTTGGTTAAGAACCAAAGTGCACCACCTGCTTCTCGTGTGGAAAGGAAATGTGTTGTTCCTGCTGGCCCACCTGTTGGTAAGAGAAGCCACCCTATGTTTAATTCTGCTGTAACAATTTCTCCTGACAGGATAAATGTGGATATTTTCATACGTTTTCCCACATTGATTCACAGTGATGTGGGTTTCACAGTTAAGAAGGGAGTAACACTTTAGCCATTGAAATAAACCACTGACTTGTTTAATGAGAAGAATAAAGTTGTCATTAACAGTAGTCCTATCTTTAGGTATCTATGAGTTCTTATGGTTGTGGAATATATTTTGATGTGATGGGAAGTAGCAGTTTTAAGAAAATAGATAAGTGTACTCTGTGGTATCAAAATAAATATTTCTGTGTTCATATTAGTTTGTTGAATAGATCTGTGCCCTACCCTCCTCTGAGGTGCTTAGATCCTCCCACCCAACGTACAAGAGTTGACAGTTATTCTATTAAACCACAGAAGTATTCACTACATAGCCTATTGTGTGTGCAGGGTTCTGCATTGCTAATGCATTCCCCACTGCCATAATAGCTATACCAGTTAGCCAGCCATCTTTTCTATTTGGCCTTACCATCATCAGTGCATTAACTAACTTGAGTCATTATTACATATTGGACTGTTTTCAGCAGTTGAGGACTGCCTTCTTGACAATTTGGGTAATACGGTGGTTGAAATAAGGGCGCCTGCTTTGGCATGGGCCCTGAGCTATTCATTTGGGGCCATGTGTCATGCTGGATTTCTAACGGTAAGACACAGTTTTCTCTGCTAGGGGAATCCCCAGGGTGCCATTGTTTTCAAAAAGCCAATGGCATTTCTCATTATTTGCCCTGGCTTGGCCCCCAACTCCCTTTTAATTCTCCACTGCTGGAATCCCAGGTATCTTACTTCCGTAAAGGAGTATAACCCATAATTCACAAGGGTTTTGCAGGGGAAATTGATAATCAAAATGCCAGATTTCTGCTTGTTCTTGCTCCTGAATATTCCCTGCCAAATTCATATGGATTTTAAATTCTGACATTCTTGCACAGTTTTCCTCTTTGGGGGGAAAATGTCAGTCAAGTCTGCCCACGTATCAATATGATAGACATGACTGTGCATTAATAGGGTTGTGTTCTCCTGCGCATTTAATGAGGACAAATGTAGCAAAATAAAACAAAGATACCCTAGGAGTTATTCTAGGAATGTTTCTAATGCAATAGCTCTTTAGTGATGGTTTTTACAATAAATTGTTTCACATATGTTTCTACTTCTTTCTTTGTTAGTTTCCATAGTAGAAAAGTCAAGTACGGTTTTCAACAGTGCACAAAGGCTGGAAGTTGTTAGAAACTGCATCTCTTTTATATTTGAAAATAAAATTTTGGAGACTGAAAAGGTAATAAAAAATTCTCCTAAACTATTTGAGGAGTACTTCCAAGTTAAACTCATACATGTTAAGTGATTGACCTCTTTACTACTCCTGCCAGATTGTAGTCCTTTTTCATTTATTCATTGCCCTCTTCATCAAGTATCAGACTGAAAGTACTGAGGTACCAGTTAGGGTGGAGGCAGTGCATGTGAATATGTGGATTCCTTTTTACTCTAAATTAAAATTGGAATCTTACCTCACCCTCTTGTTTACCCCTTCTCTGTTACATTTCTGTACATGGAACCCCTCCCCCGCAAATCTTCCCTGTTTTTCTTTACCTTATACATAGAGAGGTCACTCCTCCACCCACGTAATTTTTCTCCTTTTCCACCCAGTGAACAATTAGGTCCAAACAGTATTTCCTGTTTCTCTTCTCCCTGTTCCAGCCCTTCATACCCTCAATGTCTGTCTCCAACTTCAGGTTGGTTGGTTCCCTTAGTTCAAAGCTGGAGACAGACTTTGAAGGTATGAAGGGTTGGAACAGGGAGAAGAGAAACAGGAAATACTGTTGTGCAAATAGATTTTTGTTGTGGAAGCAGGCAGGCATCTTTGGATATTGCCCTTATTTTATTAATACAAATAAATCAATGTCCTAAAGAACTAAGGGCTGGATCAATTAACCCACTCTACTAGTGGAAGCCAGCACAAGGGCTCCTACTGGCACTATTTTCACTTGCCTCCCCCCTGCATACACACCCAAATCTACTCTAGAGGGTCAGGAGAAACTCTAGAAAGAGTGCATAAGGGAAAGAGATGGGAAATCATTCCACTGGGCAAGCAGAAATGCTTCTGATGAAGAACGGTCTCCCCAGCACAATGTTGAATTCCACCTTCAGTCATATGACCACTTATACAACATCTTTAAAGTCTGTGGAAAGAGCAGTGCTTTTCACACATTCATTAAAACCTACAAGACTGAGCACTGCCATGTCTCAGTATGTTGCATACTCCTTAACTTTTGAGACCACAACCAAGAAGTTACTTCTCTAAGCCCCCACATTTCATTCAGTTTTATAATTTAGCATGAAAATGTTGTTCGGTTAGGAAATAGGAATACAGTGGTACCTTGGTTCTAGAACGTAATCCATTCTGGAAGTCCGTTCGACTTCCAAAACATTCGAAAACCAAGCTGCGGCTTCCGATTGGCTGCAGGAGCTTCCTTCACTCAAGCAGAAGCTGCATCAGACATTCGGCTTCCGAAAAACATTCAAAAACTGGAACACTTACTTCCAGGTTTTGGTGTCTGGGAGCCGATTTGTTCATCAACTAAGCCATTCGAGAACCGAGGTTCTACTGTATATGAAAATCTGGGAGAGTTTAAACCTATCACTAGCTTAAATGTTGATCGTTTAGAGACTTTGTTGATTTGGTTTACTTTATTTACAAATAACCCAAGTATTAGTAAAGAACTCAATTAAACTAATGTTTTGTGGAATTGGAATACATTTTTCTCTATATAGACTCTGCCTGCTGCACTGAGAGCCCTAAAAGGAAAAGCAGCACGGCAATGTTTGACACAGGAACTAAGCCTACATGTTCAGCAAAATCGAGCTATACTGGATCATCAGCAGTTTGATTACATTGTACGGATGATGAACTGTACTTTGCAGGTACTTAAAATTGCTTTTAGCTTCAACTTGTAATTTACTGAATACAAATGTTCATGTGTGTGAGGTACTAGATTGCATTGTTTATTTTGCTGTATTTCCAATTAGCTGATTATAACTGCCATTTATAATTAGCATGGGTGATATTTCAGCATTCTTCCCTCTTCCTACAACACTTTGCTCCTGGGGGTCTGAGCATCACTCTTAACCATTTTTTTTGCACTATAAATGTGAAGCATTTCTTTTCCCTGGAAGACAGCAAGGGTTCCATCTTTCTTTGGTAGCATTTGTCTTACACTTCAGATTGTTGCTAACACATAGCTTTGTTTTGGTTTGTTTATTTTATAGCATCTGAATGCTTTCTACACTATACCTACTACTAGATAGTGAATGAGAAATTACAAGTGATGAATAGTGCATCAGTTTGTTTGGTTTTTTAAGTAGCTTTGGCAGAGGGGAGTTACTGCACTAAAGTCTATATTGGGGTAGGCAACCTAAGGCCCGGGGGCCGAATGTGGCCAAATCGCCTTCTCAATCCAGCCCAAATGCATCTCTGGGTTATTTGTGGGGCATAGGAATTCGTTCATATTTTTTTCCAAAATATAGTCCGGCCCACCACATGGTCTGAGGGACAGTGGACCAGCCCACGGCTGAAAAAGGTTGATGACCCCTGGTATCACTCAAGAGCAAGAGAATTTCATAGCGGAGACCAAATTTTGGGGTTATGGAAGTATACAAAAATATTTAGCAGAATTGAATCAAATTATTCACAAACTTTAATAGCTGTGTTTTTCTTTGACCCATGAGTATTTTTCTGTACAAAAGAACTTTCTTCCAGAATGCTTATGATTCTGATTTCAGGGTTATTATTTTTTTCAAGCTTCTTCATGACAAAACCGAAGAACTCCCCCTGTGCAATTGTCTGCTACTTAAAAGCAATGTTATCTCATGAAGCTTTCTTGGATTTGGAATATTGGGATAACTGTTGATACTAAATATGCATTTAAAATATGGCTACTTTAAACCAAGAAGTTTGAACCAAGCAACCTACTTTATGAATTGTAAAATATACATGGGTGTCTGAGGACATGGCCAGGAACTAGAAAAATCCACATGAAATTTTACCTGTCAAATGTTCCATATTTACTTCTCCAAGGTATCATTCTAAAAAGGCGCCTGTGTTAGATAATAAACACTAGAATTGCATTTCATAAAAAAAATGCCAAAAGTGACAGGATATGCGTCATTATTGATTTCCTTAAAATTGTTATAGAATAGCATGTAGTATGTAGGGAAGTTGGCACTGTGAGAGCCCATGAGCAGGAGCACCACATGGTCTCCACCAGTGCATGTGACAAGGCAGATCTCCACACCTCTTCACCCCTCTCTCTCCCAGTAAGTAGCTGGGAGGCCAGGTATGCAGCACCATCCACCCTCACTGACTGCTCCCAACAGGATCCCAACAAAAGTCATTTGAAAATATAATTATATACAGTAACACAGTTAGTTATACTTAGTACCTATATGTGTGTATAGAATCATATATAATATTGTATTTTACAGGTATTTAAAACTTTGCCCAGCAGATATGTTTGTCTTATTTAGGGACCACCACTTGACTTTATTATACCAGGATAATAATACAGTAAAAAGACTATGTCTAATAAACTGTGATTCACAGCCCCTTCAAAATCAATCTTTGAATGTGGAAAGTGAAAAGTGTGTTTGGGCTGTAAAAATTAATCTACCGTATCTGTATAATATGCTTTACATGGGAAAGGAATTAACAGTACATAGAGCACTGAATCAAAAACATGTAGGAGAACGTCAGCTTTGGAGTACTTGCAAAATAAAGAGAAGACCTAAACACAAATTAAACAAAATGCAAGTTAAGACAACATTCAAGTTAAACAAAATAAATCACAATGTCCAATTGTATTTTTCTCACAATATAATTGTAAGCTGCAGTCTATTCTCATTTATTCATTTTCATCTTTTGCCCACTCCGTCCCAGAAGCACCACAACAGTAAATTCAAATGAAACAAACACCAACATTAACATCAGACAAGCAAAACTACAATATTCCAAGTTCTGCCTAACCCTGTTTTTCCTTTTGCCAAACCTCCTCCTGCTCACGCTATGCTTCTTACCCAGGGGAGTCCTTTGGATTCTTCCTGCATAGTACTGTAGTTCAAAGATCATTGCCTTAATGTGCAGTTTCATTATGACTGTTTATTAATTTTCAAGATGCCTGCAGGGAGGTTGTCAATTAAAAGACCAATGCCAAAACTCTTTATAGACATTTCTGCTCTTTGGTATCTGTGAATAATAAGTAAAATATCTCTGGAAAAATAGATTTGATCCAGAGCTGCAGATCAGAGGTGAGCCCAGACTTGCATGATTTCCTTTGGTTTTTCACCAGAACCCCATCATCTACCATAACAGATCATACTACAAAATGGCTACATGGGGGCTACCTACATATCCAGTAACATACCTGAGGTACTATAGATAGGAATTCTAACATCAAGCCCTAAAAACTGCACAAGAACACAAAAGACAGGAAAAAGGCAACCGATTAACAAGCCCCCTTCGCAGGTGAGGGATAAAGTGGCTTCAACCTCATTTGCTCTTAATTAGGTTGTCTCATTTATATTGAACAATATTGTGCTCATTATTCATTAACTGACTACTTATTGGCTTGTCCACATGCAGATACATAAACAATTTAAAATGGTAAAACCAGGTTATTATTATGAGTGCTGAAGGATAATGGACAGCAAAGATATTTCAGTGGTTAGATATGGTTGGGTAGCAAGTTTCATAATGAGCTTTTAATATTTCCTCTTGAATCAAACAGTGAATTTTCAAAGCACTTTAAGAACTTTTGCTATGAACTTTTTTTAAAAAATAAATAAATCATAATAATGAAAATACTCCTGAGTAAAGAATTACACACAGGCCTACTTTACATATCATGCTAAGTCACACTAGGCTAACATCTGCTTTGCTCTTCCCTTGTCATTTTCATTGTTAAACCAAGCCATGATTTGGCTTAGCATATCATCTGAACCTTGGCTCATGGTTTGTCTCATTCCAGACAAACCCCAAGCTGTAACAAGGGTTTGTTAACCAAGCGCTTTCTTCTAAGAGGATTGATGCTGGCAGCAAACACTTAAAACACAGAGAGTAATCATTGCTGTCCTAGCCTGTTTTAACGTAGATGTTCCAAGGCAAAAAGGACAAAGTATTGCAGGCTTACTGGGAATTGCCTGCCCATGATTGATACTGCTCACTTGTTTCAGCTGATGTTCACAGAATCTCATAACTATCATAGAAGGACAATCAAATGGAGCACAGTTCAAAGACATAGTGCATTTAAAATCAGAATGCAGCTTGCAGTTTGAGTTCAGAATTTTATGAGCTAGCAAAAATTCATAGCCAAGGACTGGTGAACAAATGTATTAGAGTCATTTAAGCCTACTTCTCACAAAAGTGCAGATTAGGTGGCAAAACTGTGTCTGGCCTACCCAACTTCAGGATGCACATTGGGACTTACACAACTGTTATCTTCCTTTGTATGCGAACACCCCCTTGCATAAAAACTAGCATGCCAGGGATAAAACCTTTCTGTCCATTACCTGGTTCTGTTTGTGCAGAGATATGGAGGGTCTTTCAACCATGTGAATTCCTATCTGCAGTCTGAAGTAATATACTCTAGAAACATGTTACCAGCCTTATCTGGTCTTTGCCAGAATGAGCTCTTATCTTCCAGACATGGGCAAGGATAGCCTATAGATGTGGGTTGATATTTGAAGGACCACATCCTCGAAAAGCAAGCTGCCCAGTACTCAGATCATCATAATTGGTGATTGTCCCCAGTCTTTAGAATTGTTATCTCCCCAGGGACCTGCCAATTTCCCTCCAGCAGAGAGCAGGCACCTTTTTCTTTGGAAATATAGTACGTTATAGTTACTTACCATCTACTACTTTTTGTATGATTAGTTGCATGCTGCTATTCTCTTAGGTATATTTTCTGCCTTTTTCCATTTTTATTTGGTCATTTCTGTAAATATGGTATGAGATTTTGTTGATTTTAAATTACTTTTGTTAACCATCATAAGTATATTTTGATAGAAAGATAGGATAAAAATACCTTTAATAAAAACAAAATAGAAGAAGGCTTTGTCTAGAAGGATTCAGTCTGAGAACTAAAAGTCACTTTGGTTTCTTAGGAGAATAAATGAAATTTCATTTTATGCTGTTTATAAATCAAACTTCTCAAATGGTCATGCATTCAGCAGAATAGTTCAAGCAATAAAACTGTTTTGTGGATAACTGTAGCAGAAGGACTTGTTGAATGAAAAATTTGACATACCTCATGCCTCATTTCACCTGAGATGTTTGCATATATCATATTACTATGCCTTGTCATGTGTTAGCATATTTTCATTCTTTGTGCATTAACTAGGGATTAAAGTTAATGTGATGCTAAAATTGCTCAGTTAGATTAAATCACTATTTATGATTTTCACCAGTTTTTCCCATGTTGCCAAAAAACAAACCCCAGTTACAGAAAGAATAGCAAATAAAATATGCAGTGTGTTAAGAGCAGAGTTTCTGTTGATCATTTCTGTCTGATAACCTCCGTTGCTTGGCTGAGTGTGAGGAGGTAGACATTTATGAGAATTAAAAACCCCCACTATGAATCAAATACCCTATATTCAGAACAATTATTCATATACTATAATAGGTCTATGTACCTTTTCTTCACAATATTTTTTTAGACTAAAGGGTGGAATTCAATGTTACACTCTTCTAATTGTTAAGAACATAAGAAGAGCCTGCTGGATCAAGCTACTCTTAAGTTACCAAGAAGTATGGGGGAAACATGGTTTCATCTGAATTGAAGAGGCTGGTGAAACATTTTTATCTGTGGTTGTGCTCAGTGGTTTAATAAAAAGGAACTGGATTTCCAAATTGATCTTGGTGACTCTATGAA